CGCGGGAAGGACCCGCCCTGCTGCTTCCCACGCCCCGCAGCCTGCAGAGCCTCACCTGGGTGCGAGATGGGGGCCGCAGAGGTGCCAGGGCCGGCCGGGACCTCCCGGAGCTCTCGGGGCCCCAAAGCCTGGGACTCCCATTCCTTTGTGCTTCAAGTACGCCAGCTTCCACTCCCCACCAGGCTGTTTGCTCTGCCTGTGACACTATCTCAGGGCTCTGCAAAAATGTCACCTCTTTAAGAAGGCCTTCCCTGACCACCCTGGGGGCAGAAGCCCCTCTCCCTTCAAGGGACAGCCCTTTTAATTTAAAAACATTATATATATAGTTTCAGGGAGAGGAAGGGAGAGGGAGAGACAGAAACATCAATGATGAGAGAAAATCATGGATAGGCTGCCTCTGGGCATGTGCCCTGACTGGGAATTGAACCTCAGAAACCTTGATGTGAGAGAAACACGTCGATTGGTTGCCTCCTGCACGCCAAAATTTCTTGTAATGGTTAAAACAATATTTAAACTCTAAAGTGAAGTTTCCCTCCTCAACCCCTCTTCTTAGCCTCTCATTTTCATGTCCTTCTCCAGCAGGGAACTCCCTCTGCTTTTTTTCAGTATTCAAATACAAGTAAACTGTAGCTGTAAAGTCTTATCACTCTCCCCCAAAAGGTCAGGGCATAACATATACCCTGTTCTGAAAATTTTTAAACTTCATTTGTTGCGGGGATCTTTCCATGTTGAAACTATAAGAGCGTGCACAGCCCTGTACAGATGTGCAATATTTATGCCTGGTGGGTCAGGGGAACAGCGACGAGGCCCGTGTGGATTGAGGGGGAGAGACGAGAGTGGGGAGGTTATGAGAGCAGACAGTGCGAGCCCTGGTGGGCTGTGGTGAGAACTTTGGCTGTTGCTCCGGGTGAGGTGGGGAGCCCTGGAGGGTCCTGAGCAGAAGAGGGCGGTGCCTGGACTTAGGGCACCCTCTGGCAGCTGTGGTGGGGGTACGGGCTTTGGGGGCGGGACCAGGGTGAAGGTGGGAGATAATCGGGGCCGTGTCCAGGTGGGGGACCGAGGAGGGAGTGAGAAGTGGGTGGATTCTGGGTAGATTTTGAAGCGGACAGGACTTGCTGTCATATCATATTAGGGAGGGGTGGGGTCAGAGAAAGTAAGAGGTCAAGGCAGCGCCAAAGTTTGGGGCCTTAGGTCCTAGCGGGATGGAGCTGGGTCTAGACGCAGCGGTCGCCAACCGGTGGTCCGCCGACCACTGGTGGTCCGTGAGGTCCGAAAGGGCTGGAGGACAGCAGTGGGATTGGTGGGGGGACGCTCAGGAGCTCGGATGTAGAGGGAGGCAAGTCCCAAGAGCCGGGCCCGCAGTCCCAAGAGCTGC